CCGAGCGCCGCCGCATCCCCCGCTCCTGCAGACAAAGCGCCGCTGCCACCCGCGCCACCCTCCGGGCTCCCTCCGCCTTCCCCGGGCTCCCTCCGGGCTCCCTCCGCCTTCCCCGGGCTCCCTCCGGGCTCCCTCCGCCTCCCCGATCCCCCGGTTCTGCCCTAACCCCCAACAAAGCTCGTGTTTGTTTATCTCTCCCTGCTTTAACCGAGCTCGGGGAGCCGCTTTCCCCGAGCCCGCAATTAATGGTTACAGTTATTAACTGCACAATGCTCGGCTGTTTGGCCGGGTTTTTTTGTTTAGGGGTTTTTTTTTTTCCCTTTCTCCTCTTCCCCACCCCCCGTTTCTGCGCTCTTTGCCAGCGCGGGAGGAGGGAAATGCAGCTGGAGGGGTTCGAGGGAAGCAATCCCAGTTCAGCCAAGGCAGCACGTGGTGAAAACTTGCACAAACATCTCCTGGCTGGTGTGCTGGCCCTGGAGAGCATCCAGCCTTCATGCAAATCCTCCAGATAAACAATTATTTATTTATATTGATTTATTTTAGAGGATAGAGGTTGGAAGAGCAAACTGTTGTGTAATTTTTTGTGGGGGGAGAAGCTTTCCCCACTTCTTCCTGCTCTTGACCCTGAAATTTTTGCAGCCCCTCTGCTGTGCTTTGCCAGGATGCCCCGGCTGGCATCGCTTCCCTGAGTTCCTCAGGAATCCTCACTGCTTTTCCTGCCTCTGCCATTCCCATCTATTTATTTGTATTTCAGTTTTGTGGCTGAGTGCCCCAGCTCTGGCCCCACTCATCCCAGGAGCAGCCAGGACAGCCAAAATCAGCCCCACAGCCCGGCTTCAGCAGCCCCAGCATCTCTGGGACCTTCACCACCTCCAAAAAATAAATGGGCTGGATTCATTTTCCCTGGCTGCCCTTCCAGCAGGAGAGCTGGATGTCACCTGCTGCTTTATGGTGGCTGCACCCAGCGCCTCTCCCATCCTCAGGGCAGCTTTGCTCTGCTGGATCTGCCTGACAGATGTCGTGGAGCTCCTGGAAAAGGCTTCCCAGCAGGATTTTTATCTGGGAATTATAAACACAGCAGGTTTCCCCTTTCCAGGAGTGGATGGAGGCTGGAGGTTGGTGTGGGTTTGCCACAAATGTGTCTGCTGGAGCTCAGAGTTTATCTGGGTTTCCTGCCTGCCTGGAGATTGGTTGGATCGCTCCCAAATCCAACGGCGCTTGGCACGGGATCCTGGTGCTCGGCAAAAGGGGCTGCAACCAGGAGCCTGTGCCAGTGGGAATTGTGTCCAGCAGAGCCAGGTGTCCCCAAAAGGGCCAGGACAGAGCCAGGACAGGGGTGATGCTGCAGGAGATGAACATTTCATCCCAGCTCCCCGATTCCCAAGGCTGGGAGCGATGCCAGCGGGCGGGAGCTGGGAATGCTGCCCCTGTGGAAGTGTGGGAAAGGACTGGCAGAGTTTTCATGTGTGTCTGCTTTTGTCTTCCAGCGGGGCAGAGTCCCTCTCCTCGGATGAAAAAGGTACAGGGATTTGGGGAAATTCCTATCTTTGGGAATGGGAATGGGAATTCTAGACCTGGCTTTAAAAACCAGTGGAAAAGGTGCAGGGATTTGGGGAAATGCCCATCCTTGGGAATGGGAATGGGAATTCTAGACCTGGCTTTAAAAACCAGTTAAAAAGGTGCAGGGATCAGGGATCATCCTTGGCAATGGGAATTCTAGAACCGGCATTAAAAACCTCGGTGTAAACCCTTTGTTTATGGATTATTTTGGGGTTTATGCTGATTTTTAAAGTCCCTGTTCTGTTGTTATTTATTCCCTTTCTCTGAGTACAAAATTGGCAAGGGAAGAGACAAACCCTTCTCAAACTTTTATCCCCTGCTTTTCTCTTGCAGAGGTGGCACCCAACGGCGTGGAGGGATCGGGATCGGCCGAGGAGCACCCGCAGGGTGAGCACACCATGGCTGAGGGATTTCCTCACTCCTGGGATGGTGTGGCTGCTCCTGCATCCCAAATTTCCCCCAGAGCACATCCCTGGCTTTCCAGTGCTGGTTTCTCTTCAACTGACATTTGGAAGAATAATGAAATTGAATTTGGTGCATCCACACCTGGTGGGACACACAGCTCCCACCAAGGCTGCTCCCACCTGCCCTGGAGAACCAGAATTTAACGGGCATGTGCCGTGGGAGAAGCTCCAAAATGATCCCAGCTTGTAGAAAACATGAGAATTAAATATTAAACATGAGAATTAAATATTAAACATGAGAATTAAATATTCTGAACACCCTTTGGAAGGGCCTGGGTGACCCCAGAATCTCCCCTGGTGCTGGGATTTGATGCTCTGGTGTTTTTCTCTGCCTCAGTATTTCTTTTTTTTTCTGTTCCATCACCTAACCTGCTGCCTGGCCTGATGGATCCAAACCTCTGGATGGATCCCTGGACTCACATTCCACCTGTGCCTGTTTTTAAGGAGAAGCCAGTTCTGAAAGCAGCTCCAGCAGCAGCTCAGAAGAGGAGTCAGGTGAGCAGAGCATTGTGATTTATTTACCTGTAATCCCTTTTTTAGAGCTGATGTTCAGCTCAAACCAGCTGCTGGGTATAATCTCACAGTTATTAGGGAATACTAACTCTGATTGCTTTCCCAATAAAATTTTTGGGGGGCCAGTGACTTCCTATCAATGCTCAAAGGGCAGCACCTCAGAAGAAGAGTCAGGTGAGCAGAACATCGTGATTTATTTATCTGTTTGCTTTTTAAAAACTGATGTTCAGCTCAAACCAGCTGCTGCTCCTGGGAAAAGCCTCACAGTTATTAGGGAATTCTAACTCTGATTGCTTTCCCAATAAATGTTTTGGGAGCCAGTGATTTCCTGTCAGTGATCAAAGGGCAGCAGTTCATGCTGCTTTCACCTCACACACTCAACACCCAGACACAATACCCACGGGTTTTTTTACACCACAGAATTGTCCAAACACCAAGAGGCCATAAATTTCCTCAAAAGTTGGCAGCAGAGCTGGCCAAACAGGATGGACAGGAAAAGAATTAAAGGAAGTGTTTGCTGTTGGTGGGTTTGCGCTTCCATGGCTCTGCTGGCAGCTGTTCATTCTGGTTTTATGTAACACTGATAATTAAACAATTGCAATGTTATTTTTCTGTGCAGATGCAGAGGAGTGGGATGGAGGAAGGCTGGGTGAGTGTGGCTTTATTGTCCCCGTTATCCCTTGCTCAGCAGGAGGAAGCCAGCTGGGATAAGCCATTCCTGAGTGTGGGGTGCCAGGAAGGATTCCCAGCTGGCCCAGCCATCAGCTCCATCTCTTTTGGGAAAAGGAGCTGCTGGAGAGCATCCCTAGGGAATGAGGGGTGGAGGCCACGAGCTTGCAGGTGCAGGGAGTGTTCCTGGTGCTGCTGCACTCCTGCTGCAGCTCGGGGGCTGGGATAGTGCTGGCTGGTGTTTGCCAGGCTGTTTGCTGCAGAGGGGACTCTGGAGTTCCAGGATCGCCCAGGAGGGGTTTGGAGTTCCAGGACAGCTCTGGGACAGCCTCCAGGATCCCTTTTTCCTGGGAGGGAGGTGGGATGGGAAGCAGCTGATCCTGGCAGCTCTGCCACTCCCCTGCTCCCAAATCCCCCCCTCGGGACACAGCCTTGGCCTGAAGTGTCAGCTCTGCTGGAATTCCGTCCTGTTGGATTCAGCCAGGAGAATCCAGGCACTTTTAAACCATTTTTGGGACAAACACACTGCAGACCATGGCTGCTCCTTGGGAAAGCTGTTCCCAGTTTCCATGCCCAGGGCTGAACTTTGTCCTTGGCACAGTTTCTCCTTTACCCAGGAGAAATCTTTTTTTAACCCCAGTGAAAATTCCCAGGAGTTTGGGCAGTTCTGGAGCTTTTGGCAAATTTGTATCCTGATGTTCAGCTTCAGCCCCAGGCCGTGCAAAGCCTGCAAGAACTGTCAGGAATGTTCTCCTTAAGATTTGATGAATTTAAGGAAATGAAATTGTGGAGTTGTCCTGGGTGGATGTGGGAGCAGAAACCCTCTGGACATTGAGATATTTACTCCAAACTCTTTTTCCTAGATGAAGGACGGGAGGAGAAAGAATCCCCACCTTACTGCAATGACTCAGGTAGGAACAGATCTCCTGAGGGCATTTCTTTTGTTCCTGCCTCTTTAATTACTTGGCTTTTCCTGAGCTCATCTTCTTTTCCCACTAGGAGAGAGCTGCTTGCCACACTGTGAGCACTGCAGGAATGAAAACGTAGGTTTGTGAGGGGGGAAAAAAACCACCACCCACTTATTTTGCATGAGATCATTTGCAAACTGTAATTCTACTGTCTCCTCACCTTTTTAAAGATAATTTTTTTTGTTTTAAAAATTTATTTCCAGGACCAGAAGGAGCAGGTGACCCCCAGGAGACTTGCTGGAGGACAATTTATGTATGAATTTTTTTAATGTAACGGGTTTGAGTTTACATTGTGCTCGTCAAGGTGATTCAGTCTTTGCTTGAAGTGGGCAAGCAGCTCATTTGCTGCACAAACGCATTTGGATTTATAATGGAAGGCGCACCCAAATCCTTAAAAATCACAGTTTAGAGCCTGTGCTGCCTCCAGATCCAACATTGGGGAGGCTTTTTCAGGATGCTGCAATAATTAACAGCAGGCCCATTTTTATGTGCTTATTTCAGCCTGGATGCACATGAGGCATCTTGTCCTGCTTCACCCTCCCCCCGAGCGCTGCGTTTTCCCTCGGATGCGGCGCCGTTCTCCCTCTCTGTGCCCTCGCTGACCTTCCCCACGGGAAACCTTGGCTGTGGCACCGAGGGCGGGAAGTTTGATATCAAAGCTCCATTTCCAGCTGGTTTTGCCCGGGCTGGGTGGGCCCTCAGTGGTTTTGAGCAGCCGGGTGGCAGCTCCAGCCCCGCCTGGAGTGCGGAGATAAAGCGGGAGGGATGTGCTCCGTTCTCCCGGCCATTCCCGGGGTTTTGGCCGTCTCTTGCAGGGTGCAGCTGGACGCCGAGGGCTCCTACCAGTGCAGCATCACCGGGCTGGTGTTCGAGGTGACGGGCGCCGCCAGGATCACATATTCCCTGTTGTCCTGGAGCAGATTCGCCCGGCTGGTGGAGAAGCCCTGGATCGTGGGCGGGCCGCTGTTCGACGTGCGCTGCTCGGCGCCCGCCGCGCTGGGCTCCATCCAGTTCCCGCACTGCCTGTGCCTGAGGGGTGAGTCCTGCGGGGCTGGGGCTTGGGAAGGAGCCCCGGGGACCCTCT